TTTCACTTTGATTGAATGAATTAAAAAAAAAAAAGATTTATGCTTTTACACACTCGATCATTTGTTCTGTCGTCCAGGGGGAAAATATCTAGATTTTTTTTTCTACTTTTTTTTTTTTTTCAATTGTGCTGGGGTAAATCAAATACTGTTCAAACTATTCAACGTGAAGAACCTGAGTTGTACTGATTCAGTTTCTCTCAGGGCGCCTAGAGCCCGTGCCTCTGAACACCACACTGTGAGATGCAAGCGGAAATAAACCGCTCATGAAATCATGGCGATCTCCTAACTTGAAGAGCTGGCTGCTCCAGTGTACAGAGCCAAAGAAGCACATTCTAGAATGTACTGGGACATATAGAAATATACCTTATCTCCCTATATTCAAACTCATGTTTCCTCCCACCTGAATAACTACTGCCTGAGGTTGTCCCGATTATCAAGCCAGACAGCAAGTCATTTAGTAGGCCCTGTTCCAGCCCCATATGGGGCTCCATCCTTTCGCCTTGCACGAATTCAACCAACCCATCTCTGCTTACATCAATCGTGGTCCCAATTCAGGTCTACAGAATCCCTGTGCCCCTGCCCTGCGTTTTTTCTTCAGTTTTACTCTAAGCCCTAAATTAGCCTGTCTTCTTTCTCCCGGGTGGCCATCCCGTTTTCCAACCTGGAATCTTTTTTTCTCTATTCTCTGGTCTTTTGTTCCTCTGTTCCACCCTGCTGCCTGAATTCATGGGGGAGGAATGTCCTTACACCTCCAGACCTGTGTGCTTGTCAGCAGAATCCTAGTTGAGGACCATTGGTTAATGTAGAACATGGAAATGTGTACACGAGAGAAGTCGGTAGCCGGCAAAAAGGGATGTATAGAGTCGGAGGGAAAAAATGGAGGTATTACTGAATAAGGGAAGAAGATAACTAACCTGTTACTTTTCTCATCCAAAACACGTATCTGCTCTCCAGACTCCAACTCTGACATAATTCCTAAATGAAAAACTTTTAAGAGCCCCTGCTCAAGAGTTTTCAGGATAAGTCTGGATTCATGTTTCTACTTTTCTAGTATGTGCGCCGTGGCTGACTGAGTAGATTTGGGGTTGCCTGAAGAGGTCACTGAGTGCATGCTCAGCTTGAAACAGTTTCAGACACAACCACTTCAGAGAGGTGAGAGTTCTCTAGTTTTTAAAAAGACCACTTCAGAAGAACAAGCTAGAGTCTCATTAAATAGACCATTCTGATGACTAAATCTCCCCTTGCCAAAAGGAGAGTCAAGACGACATCTCTCCTGTAAGTCTAACTTAAATTCTCCAAGCCGCACTTCGAATCCTTTGTTTTGAGGCCAATTCATGGCTGCAGGGCTGCTCTCCCTCCTGGCTCTGTCTCCTTCTCCCCAAACTTATACACAAGCCTAGAATGTTCCTTCCACATTGAATAAAGCAGTGAGGTGTGAAGCCATTACTTGCTTATTCTGGGAGTGACTCGCCAATCAGTATATCCTCACGCCCTCATCACAGGGGACTGATTGCCACCATTCCCATCAATTTGTTTATTAATATGGTCTGTTATCCTTGTTGAGATTAGATTTGTCTAAAACTGAAGGATGTCAGTGGTCATAACAGCTCACAGCTTTCCAAAAGCGTTCCTTGTCTCCTTCTAAAGCAGACGCCCTTGTAATCTATTATTAGCAAATAACTTTCCACCTTTATTTTTTTCATCTTTTAGCCTCTCACCATTTCTCCTTAAAATTTCAACAGCGACAGCTGGCTCGACTTGAACTTGGTCAGGTGGTGCTGCCCGGCACCCTAGCTCTGTCCTTCGGTCTTGCCCTATTCTAACGAGTTCCTCCTTTCTCTTCTGGCTGTTTTCAGTGTGCTTATTCTTTGGACCTTTTTTTTTTTTTTTTTGTTAAGCAAGAAGTCCTTTTTCTATCCTTGGTGTTACAAGGTCATCTATTCTCTCCCTTTTCCCAACTGAAGCTCCAATAGGTTCCTTTACCCTTCTCATAAATCTCTGAAATTTCTGTCTTGCACACATTGCACTTCTTTTTCTGTCCTTTTTACTTTGTCTTTGCTACTCTGACATGGGTTCAGTTGCTACTGCTACCTTCAAAAGAGGAAACTGAGGCTCAGAGAAGAAAAGCCTTGCCAGAAGCTCCAGGCCAGGGAGGAGGGGCCTGGGCCTGTCCCTTCCGAGGTGTGCCTTACCCACACGGCAGTCTCTGACCCTGCTGCTCGCCCTGCTCTTAAGCAACTCCACTTCCTCCTGCCGGGCCCATGGCTTCTGTCCCCAGGGAGGGCTGTCTTCTTATTTCCTGCTGTGCACTCTTTACAGTCCTTTGCTCCGATGACTTATTCCCATGGAATAATTTGATGAAATACGGCACCCAGTTTATTTCCTTTATCCACGAATTTCCTTACCTTTTTATATTGTTTCCTAATGTTCTCTACACACTTGATTTGTTGAATGCTGTACACTACAAATTAATGAACAGCCCGTCGCCACATAAGAAAGCCGGCTGGTTTCCTTCCAGAACCATCGAGGCTGGTCTCTAATGCAGCTCTGTAAAGAGCCCACTCTTCCCTCCATGTCTCCTGGACGCTCGAGTCTTGTGAGATCCTCTCCCTCCCTCACTTCCTCTTCTCAAGCCTGTCCTTTGTGTGGTGCCCAGTTTGTCGTGCAGGCCTTCGTATTTTTTGCTTTCTTTGCAGTAACCCATCACTCCTACAGCCCCCAGCTCCACTGAGAAGCGTCCATTCTCCCATTCTCCTAGATCGTCTCAGTGCCCAGGTCACATGGCTGTCCCTGCCCGTCCACAGGGCTGCATCAACTGCTATTTACAAGCCAAGCAAAGAGGTTTTCTAGGGCTCTTTAATTTCAGAATTCTGAAGTCATACTTTCTCAACTTCATCCTGAAGAAAACGTAGACTGAAAATCATGTCAAACATGATAAAGGACAGGGTCAGGGCCTATGGGCAATGACAAACCTGCCCCTGACTCCAAGGTGATGCCTGTGCTGGGTGCAGCTAGGACGGAGGGCAGGATTCTGAACCAAGAGACACAGCTCTGGGAACCTGTCAGTAATGCCAACCAGGTGCTGGGTGATCTCCCATCCAGGAAAACCTACCAACAATGTGAAGTCCATAAGGGACAGGATACTGACACTGTTTTGAAGGCATGTGTGCTAGTCTTCACTCTCCAGGAATCAGCCTGACTTTCAGTTCTCTAAAGGATATGCCCCCAGCCACCATGGCTCACAGCCTCTAAGGGCAGCTGAGGGATTCCAGGGAGAACCTATCTCTTTCTCCAAAGTGACCCGAGCGAGCATCCTCACTCTGACATCCAGATTCTCATTTACATGGTTAGTGGGTCATTTATTCTGGTTCAGTCTCTGAGCCTCTCTGTATTCTCAGGCAGGGTGTGAGCATCTGTTTGCTCCTGTGTTAAGCAGGGAGAACAGTACCCTTGGCGCTGGGTGCTTCAGGGACTAAACAAGTCAGGTAACATCACCCTCCAAATGGCTATTCCTGTGCCACTTTTGCAAACTTTTATCATATCTATGTACTACTAGTGACTTAATGTTTTCATTTCATTTGATTTTTTAACTTATATAAATGTGTTTTGAAAGGAACCCTTGTAACGGTACAATGTGTGGTAAAACCAGTATCACTTGCAATACACAGAAGATAATCTCAAAAATAAAAACCTAAGTTGAAATCAAACATAATCATTTGCGTCCCAACGTTGGAAAACCCTGAAATGATATATGTATCTTCCTTGGGTAGAATACAGTGGATGAGCCACAAGTTCATTTCTCTTCCCCTCTGCTTTCCCGTTTAACATAGTCATTTTCCTATAGGGTAAAATAATTCATAAATGTACTTGTTTTCTGGATTCATCTACACCAAATGGCTTTAGCCACTATCTTTATCTGTTTGTGTCATTAACTGTACTGCTGAGTTAAAAGAACCATTATACCTAGTCTACTTGGTTTCTAATACACATAAAAAACATATAAAGTATGTTTTCTGTACATGTAGATAAAATTCTCAGTGATTGCAATTTCCCATTATTGCACTAGGATGTCCTATAGGCAGACAGTGAGGTGATTCGTATAAGCCTGGGAATTTTACATACACGTTCCCTCCTTGGCTATGGGAGCTTATGTAGCTGACCCACGCTGATCTAGTCTACCTCATTTTACCTTTGTGTCCTTCATGATACTCTTTTGTGTCAATAGGTGGCTCTCAGTATCACAGCTTTTTCTCTTTCGAAAGAAGAAAACAGGTATTCCAAGGAACTGTTGACTCATTAGCGCATGAGAACATGGTATAACTGAATTTCTGACTAGTCTTTGAGTCAGAAATTCGGTTCACTTCTGACTCTGTCATTTGACCTTGGTTAATTAACTTTTCTCAGTCTTTGATTTCTTGAAATAAAGAGGGTGGGTGAAGCGTTCCAAACACAAACTGTTGCATGTCTAATTTAGCCAGTGGACTTGCAGATGATGGTTCCAGACATAGGTTTTTATGGAAAAGGTGTGTAAATCTGTGCTAACTTAGATTTTTTTTCTAACATTTAAAAATTACCATTTATGAAACTTTCTATTTTCAGTTAAATCTGAAATTTAAGAACTAGGGATTAGAGGGATAGCACAAGATGGCCAGATGTGGCTTCTTCTAACCCCAAACACTGAAGCACTGTTGCCAAAACACAGTCCGTAAGATTCGATATTCCTGAAGGGGCAGTGAGGAACAGGGGACAGTAACAGAGACGCATCCCTGGGGAAGACTGCTCCTCAACTCGGACATTTTATGGGGTGTGTGTGGCTCTCACGGTCATGCTGGCCTGTGAGTGTCCATCCTCCCGCATACCAGAGAACCCCCATCCTGCCGACTCTGTGCCATATTTCTCTAACATGCCAGTTGGGGGAACACAATGGATAAAATGACTTGCATCCAAATACAAAGAGATAAAGGTTTCACAGGCATGGAGGTGGCCGGTGACCCACTTACCCACAACTCTGTCACTCTTGGAGCTTTGCTGTCCTCCCGAGGTGGTGGAGAGGTCCTCGGGGATCGGCATGGGCTCATCGCCCTCATCTGGAGTATCACTTACAGGGGGGCTTTCCTTCCCTGAGGATAAAGAAGGAGCTTGAGTCTTGGGCATTCACTGTCAAGGTGCCTGGGCTTCCCCTTGGCTTGGCTTGAGAGGGTGGCATGAGGGGGCAGGTACTGGGTGGAACCAGTGCTTTCTCTGCTGAGATACAAATACCTTTTTCTCTTTGTAAAAAAAAGTCACTGCTCCCCACACAAAACAAATGAGAGAACCCAGATGTGCAAAAGGGAAGAAATAAAATAACCTGTAATCCCAGACACTGCCACTCTTAAAATCACCTCTATATACTACAAATAATATGAGATGACATATTTTCTTTTACAAAATAAACTAGATTTTAGACATTCTCAGAAACATAATTCCAGCTAGGGGCCATATTTCCATAGTTTGATTTATAACGGGTACACTAGGATTTATTTAAATTCTTTTCCTATTTTTGAGCTCATATCGTGTTTTTTTTTATTATTAAACAACACTGTAATGAACATCCTAATAGCCAATCTTTGCTCATATCCCTAACAATCACCACAGTATAAATAGCTAGACGTTCTATCACTGCATCAAAAGGCATCTACAGTTTTAAGGCTCTCCCTATCTTTTGTCAACTTCCCCCTGTAAGCTTGTTCCAATGAGCTTGTTGTGCCATACCCTCTTGTCAATTTGTGTTTGACGACACCACAGTGGGTACGCTGCTTAGAGCCATACATCCTGCTATCTGCTCACTTTCTTTTCAAGCACCAGGGAATATCTTACCAGCTGCTTAGTTAGACTTAACTTGGTGGGGAGAAGACGGCTGGGCAGGGAATGGAAGGGAACCCCACGCCCACTGGGAAAATGACCCCCTCTGCATGCAAAGGGAGTCGGCCAACACAAATTCTTTGCTTTGAAATAGGAAAATAAAACACAATCCACATAAATACAAAAATTGCTTATACTAGACAAAGTAGGATTTAGAAAATGAAACTGGGTTTTACAGAATACCTATATTTATTTTGACTGGATTAGAATTAAATTGGACCAGAGGCTCTGGCAATGTGGAATCACTCCTACTCTGAGGAATCCAACCTTCCTTGGGAAGCCATGACTAGTAGAAAATGCTTTTTTTTTTTCCATTGAAGCTGAAACTCCTATAGTTTCTGCCCTTCCAATCTAACTTAAACTTGAGGTGCGACACAACCCACATGCAAGAAATAGATGATGTGAACTAATGCTGCATAGCTAGGTGTGGAAGACCATTTTAGATGAAGGTCCTGAAGAAGTCTAATGAAATGGCAACAGCCTGGCAGTGTGTGTCTGCTGACTGAGCTAGCAACAGACAAAATGACATGAACACGTAGACAAAGCTAGATTTTTAAGAGTGTGTGCAAGTGATAAACCAAATATTAAAATGTCTGAAAAATATGAGTAGGTACTGTGTGCAATGTCCTTGCTTGTTTGAATAAACCTCCCAGAAGAGTAACACCAGCATTTCAGTTGACTGGCAAGACCAGTAAAATCATCCTTGGTATATAAAACAACCCTTACTGGAATATTTAAAATAGAACCTACACAGGCACCAAGCCTGTGCTCTGGGGAATACTATTTCACTCTCTAGAAAACAGACATCACAATTTAATATTCCAGCTTAACTGTAATTACCACAATTGGCATATTTTCAGAAAGAGCATTATTCGGTATATTTAGATAGCCAATACAAAATAAATAGTTAAAGATGGAGCAGGATTATGAGAATTTCCCAAGGAAAAACAAAGGCCAGAGAGACACTGATTGAATGTCCTCGTGTTATGTTAAAGCCTTGGAAATGTACATTAAGTCATTACTATTTTCATGCTATAAATAGAAAAATTTTAAAGTGACAATTGCTAGATATCTTAAGTATTTTCACCTCTTTCATAAATGGGGAAAAACTCCACATAGGAGAACGCAGGAGGTATATGAATCAGCTGACAACTCTTATTTTTGTGTAAGATGACTTCCTAGAGCAATGATTTTCAAACTTCTAGGACTTTAGGAATCTTTTTTCTGTGGGGGTGGGGGCAAGGGGTAAGAATAACAAAATAATCTTACACAGAACTGTGATATACATAACAGGTCTTCTGTGTAAAGTGGGAACCTTGCAATTTGGGGACGCAGGAACCTAGGCTGAGAAACTAAACTTTATTGACTCTTTTCCTCCTATGGCTTTTCCTTGTGATCATGCTGGAGCACTGAAAGAATCCTTCAGATGCCCTTAGGTGCATGATGCCCTGGAGCCAAGAGAGGATCATAAAGAATCAGGAGTTACCCAGTGAAGGAACGCCATCCTTTCTGCTCAGTGCATGCTAAAATACATCCAAATAACTCCTACTTTTTCCAAAAGAATTAAATGCTGTGTCTATAAGAGGATCACCTACAATTTGTTGAGGATGGTTCATAATAACAGGGGTGCTTCTTAAGAATTACATCTGCCTTCGGTTCCTGCACTGAACTAAATGTCAGTGTTCCACTGTCCCTGATCTTGCATCTCAGGACATTTATTTTTTTTCAACACAGGGGAGGCAAAGGAATAATGAAACAGTAGGGATCACAATTCCAAAATACCATGGGTCAGACTGATCAATAGAAACTCTCTATGCAGAAGAAACCACATGGGGAGAAGGGAGAATAAACAATCAGCCTTGGTACATATAGTGGCATCTAGTAAAGAGTCGGAACTGGATGGTCATGAAGTGAGATATATTCACATGCTCACCAAGGGCTCTGCGTTAATTCAAGCTCGCCTTGCCTCAACTCAGTGATAGTTCTTAAGAGGTTGTCTGATTTGCCTAAAAGCTCCAAAGTGTGAGTCCAGGCTGCTGAGACTTTCATCCCTCACGTGAGCCTCTGTACCCAGGGCCCCTCATCGTCTGTGACAGCTGAGATCTCCATGATGAAAAGTTATCACTTCATGAAACCTGTCATAACAGGCACAGTGTTTTTATGCATTGACTTTAAATGAATTTGTCTGGTTAACCATTTAAAATGTAAAAGTATGCAAAGGTTAAAAAACACTAAAAAATAAATGATTAAGTCAAGCCAACACATCTCAAATACTAACACACAGTGACTAGAAGTTAGTTGACCCAGGACATAATTCTGGCTTTTTCTGGCTTCACTGATTAGTTGTAAGACCAACGGGAACATGATACTGGTCACCTTTTTAAGACTCATTTCCTCAAGTGGAAAAAGGAGGCTGAAAAACATGATTTTCATCTATCTCACAGGGTTGCGGTAAAGATAAAATAAAAATAATGTACATGGAGTCTAATGTGCTAAGCTTATGGCATTATTTGGTAAACTATGTGCACAGAGAAACATAAGGCATACATTTCACCAAGCTCCCAGCAAACACACAGAGATGAAGATAGCAAGACATCAAGTGTTTAAACAGAATAATTTAGAAGATGCAATACAATTCACTTATTCAGAAAAAACGACATAAACTTCTGGCTAAATTATAAAAATACAAATTTATGTTTAACTTACCTATGGCCTATGTTTCAAATAAAGCATTACCTATGAGAAGTGTTTTGGGAAAACTGAATGAGATATTGTACAATTAGCTTATAAACTGTAAGCAAATAATTTCACAAGTAGATTATAATTCACTTCAAAAAGTTCTGTGATCTGCCCCCCCCCCCCACAACTTCATGAGGTTTTATTATATACAATTGCCCAAGGGGCCATAATTCCTTGGGTAAATACAAGGTCAAAATACAGAATCTCCACTCTATAAAGTAGTGGAGGAGCTTGAACTCTAGGGTCCAAGTAGGGCTCACACCCCAGAGTCATCTCTGACTCCATACTGGACTTGTGGTCAGTTACTTAAATTCTCTGGGTCTCAGCTCCCTGCAAGTTGGAGATGATAACTTTGTTTTCTTCTGTGGGACTTTGTGACTTTGAAATGAGAAAACACTTCGTGTAATGTTTGCTAAATACAAAGCATTCAATCAATGTGATTTACTATGCTTAACTAGATTAAATATTGCCATTGACACTGTAATATACACAAACAGTCTTTATTGAAGCAGATTATATATATCTAAGGGTGTACTTCTGGTTTCTACATCCCAACAAAACTACAAATAGCATTAAGTAAAATTCCAATATGTATTTAGGGTCAGAGGTGCCAGAGGAACCTGAGAGATCAACTGGCTCAAGTCCCTCCTGTTACAGATAATACTACAGCGGTCCAGGAGGCAAAGATAACTGTCTCAGTTCCCATTGTGGGAGGCAGAGATGGGATGCTGACGCAAGTCTCTCAGCTCCCATATACTTCACTTTCCCCTGGCTGACTCTTTCTTTAGAAACCAAACCAAAAAATAATGCATAGTTATAACACATATTTTGGAAAGATGGCCAAAAACACAAAGAAAGGAAAAATATGCTCTACCCAAAAATTAGTGAGCTGTGTCCTAAAGGGTACCCTGCTTTAGATATTCTCTCCTCCAAGTCTATCAATAGCATTTCTCAATACCCTGTGGATTCAAGTCACTAAACACTTACGGAGTGTCTGCTACTACACATCTGCAAGACGCAGTAAGCCAGGACACAGCCCACATTTAGGATAAATCTCAAGGAACAAAGAACCCAGAGCTTTGAAAAAAAACCCAGATATTAAGCCTTTATCTGTTTATCAAGCATTTCACATATATTAGGTTGAATCCTATGAAACTGCTGATACTTAAATATTTTATGGGAAAAGAGGATGATTCAGTAACATATTCCTGAGATTTCTTATCAAGAATATTAACTCCTATTTGGTTAAATGTACATCCTTATGCCGTAGCTGTCACTTATTCCAAGTTTAGAAATGAAAAAACAAATACTGGTTTTAACTGCAGAAGCAGAGACGAAACTCCAAGAAGTAGAAAAAGCATCCTTGAATTCTTTCTAAAAGTGACATGACTCTTTGAGTGCTCTCATCACTAGGTAGAGTACTCAAAGGCTAACAGAAATCAAAAGTACCATGAGTGTTTTAGAAGTAGGAATCCCTTTGGTAAGTGCATACAAACTAAATTTCAGACCAAATCATTACCAACAAAAAAAAGAGTCTCCTTTTTCAGGAAGTCTTGTGTAAGAAGGCCTCCATTCTTATCCCCACCCCAGCCACTCTGTCCTTTAAACAGTCAGAGTGCAGAAAAAATTACTTATTTTGTATAGTGGTAGGGACAAGAAAACCACCAGAGGAAAATCAGGCTTTTGTTAGTTTTGTTACTAAGACCTGAGATCAGAATATTGAGCGGCTCTTCCTTATAGAGACATTCTAGAGATAAATCCCTAGGCGTCAGCATTAAGCTTTGACTCTAGAATATCAGAGTGTAGATCCCTGCATTGGCTGAAGGGGTTTCATTTTCTTCAAATACACCATGCAAAACCAATTAGAAGCTACCCAAAGTGAAAGTGACACAGAAAAGCAGAAAAGCAGAAACAATGAAAGCATCTTTTCGCCTCTGGAAATTTGTAACATCTTTGGGTTTTCTGACTCTATCACTTCTAGTCACAGTCAAAAAACCCAGTGAATGAGACCCTCTTCCATGAGTTAGAATCACAGTCCTCATGTGCCAATGTTTCCTAGACCAGCTCTCCTAGGCTGCATGAGAGGTTGGCGAAGCCAACAGAGAGTTAAACTGCTTTTTGCCCCCCCATTTAACTAGTTTTTTGTTGTTGTGCTTTTTTGTTTAAAAAACAAAGTATGTGCTTAAGGAAAATAAATTCAAATAATGCCAAAAGGTAGAAGATGAAAAGCAAAGTTTTCCTTCTCCTCCTTCTCTTCCCTAACTCACCCACTTCCTTCTACCACCAATCTTCCAAGAGGAAGTCCAGAATTTTCCTAAACATATGTGCAAGCATATGGAAAATGTGTACGTGTATGTATTTCCTTTTTAAAGAATGGGATCCTACTTTGCATACCATCAAGAACCATGCTTTTGTCACTTTCACACGTATTTTGGACTTCCTTTCATACTAGTTCATTTACATCCTCCTTATTTGTAAGAGCTGTATGTGGACGTACACAGACGTACCATAGTTTTAAAATATTGATAACTGCTGCAATGAACAAAGGCTTAAATGCTCTGTGCACTTGTGAGACTACACCTCTAAGGTATGTTCTTCAACGTGAAGTTGATAGATGGTTGGATTTAAACAATTTTAGTTTATACAGATAATCACAAACTTTTGGATACATTTTCACTTCTACCAACTGTACCACGAAGTGCCTGAACACCACATTCTAAAAGTTCAAGAGCCACATGTTCTCACGCACATGTGGGAGCTAACAAATGCTGTTGTCATCAAAGTAAAAAGTAGGACAGAGGCTACTAGAGGCTGGGAAGGGTGGGAGGAGGGGAAGACAGGGAGAGATTTGTTAAAGGAGACAAAATTACAGCTAGATGGGAGGAATAAGTTCTAGAGTTCTACACCCTTGCAGGATGACTGTAGTTAACAATAATATATAGTTTCAAATAGCTAGAAGGAAGATGTTGAATGTCCTCAACACAAAGAAATGATACATGTTTGAGACGATGTATATGCTGATTTACCTGATCTAATTACTATACATCGTGTGTATCATAACATCACTAAGTGCCCATTTTATGTCTATTAAAAAAATTTAAAAATTAAGAGAAATTATTCAATGATATACAAAAAGAGAATTACATAATTCTCATATGTGAGAGTTACATTTAAGATATAGAAGATGAGAATTACATAAAGAATATGAAAATTATATTGTAATAAATATGACGCCTAACTCTAAGAGAAAAATAGGTTAGCCTTTGTTTGTTCTTCGCATCTGGGAGACTTAAAAGTCCAAAACCTAAAACATGAATAGAGTGGCTGAAGGAGCGATGGAGACGGAGGCCTGTGATTGGAAGATCTATCTCCATTTTCATGGAACTCGGAAGATTCTCTCCTTCACCTTCTCCAGGGAGGCCAGCAAGCATGGGAGCAGCCACACACTGGTCTTGGTCTTCATCAGGAGCACTGACATGTGGAATCCATAGAAACTTCAAAACATGAGGGCACTCAGCCAAGGCAAGATGCCACTGAGAGACTTTGCTTGAATAGAGGCTAGCCTCTGGGGCTGGCTGTGACCCCATGAGACATGAAAACATGAAATACCAAAAACCCCAAAGTCCATGGAAGCTGCTACTGGGGCTGATGCCTCTGGGTACAGGGCCAGACAGAAAGCTGTCTTCCTGTGTCCATGCACTGGGGAACTGTGCGGTTTTGCTGGAATGGCTGGCCATCCATCCTCAGTACTGCCAAATGGTCACAGTCTGTGACCCACCCTTAGGTTTCTCCCACTACAGGCTTCTCCACTTCCTGGGTCTCCTGGATGAGAAGAGCTATGTCCAATATGGCTTGAATAGATATATGGCAAAGGGGAGCAATGTTGTATCCACGTTTAATGAACAAAAAGTCATGACCATGCCCAGCAATTACGTTTTTCAAGCTACTTTCTCCTTCTCTCTCTCCCCTTCTTCCTCTTCCTTTATCCCTTTCATTTTAATACCATCATTGGCATGTGTTTGGGTTTTAGGGCAGATCAATCAGTCATTTCTCCTTCCAACAGTACAAATATGTATTTAGCTCTTTCCTTTTTTGTTTCCTGAGGTTTAATAGTAAAACTAATTTCTTCTTGAAACTTTCTGTTCAGCTTCTCAAAGTCGGATAATTTGTAACAGGTGAAGGAAACACTCAGGCAAATTCTATCATGGTCTTTTCTTTTGCAGAATAGCCCCTATTCCTCCCCCATGAGCATACCAAGCATCCTGACTTCTGGCCCCAGGGAAGCTTTTCTCATGAATTTCCCACACAGGTATCTCATAAGGTCTCACCTGAAACTTGGGACATGTCTTGACCCTCATCAGCATCCATTGTCCTCAGGTTATCTGAGAAAGAGAGGAAGAGATTTTAGTTAAAAGCAAAAATACTAATAAGATATGAGAAAGAGAGAAAGAGAGAGAGAAAGAACCCCTATGCTATTTAACAACAAGGTTATCTAGCAAGAATAATGCATTTTTCTTCCTCACATACTTGCCAGAGTATCAGACTGGCACAGACCTTGATCCTTTTAAAAACAGCATTACAAAGATTTATAAAAATATCATTACAAGCACAGGAGGACCAAATTTGTTATTTATTGTTAATTTCCTACTGCATAATAACCCAAAATGCAAACTGACTGCAACAAAATTAAGCAGAAAATTAAATGGCCCTGGGTCATTGTAGGCACAGAATTCATTCTCTTGGCTGATCCATAGTTATGTTCTTTCTAATTTACTGAGCATGCATCGATGAACCTTGAGTCAGCTTGGTGACACGCGTACAATCAGCAATCAAAAAACGAAGCAATTTGCTGAAGAATGTCTCATTTACCCAGGCAGGGCTGCATATCTGAGCAGCAACTGCACTACCTCCATCAATAATGAATACACCTCCAGCCTGGCAGATGGGCAATGCGGGCGCTCCTGTCTTTGTCCCTCAATCTTTCTGGGCCCTTGCCTCAGCCTTCACCAGCACTCTTACACGGGGAGAAGTGAAGCTCACTACGGCAGCAAAACGAGCCCAGGAGAGGGCCCAAGCCTTCCTGTTTTGCTGACAGATGGCTGACTTCTCAGATTGGTTTAAATTAAAAAAAAAAAAAAAAAAAAAAAATGGAAGACGCTGTCCTTCGGTGGTCACAGTGAATGTTCCACAAAGTACACTACGAGCCATAGACACCAGGGAGAGAGCCCCAGCGTCAGTGGAGTAGAAACAAAAAGGTGTGCTGTGTGTTTCGCACTTGGGGTCCTGGCCTACCACTCAGCAGTCTCAGGTGCCCCAAAGTGGATGACAGCTGGCACCTCCATGGATAAGAAAGCTGTGGCCAGCAGAAGGTGACCTCAAGGAAATCTGCTCATTTATGCTCTGGTAAATGATTTTCAGAAAAGCTCCTTTGCTAACCAGAAAACTGAGTCTGTCTGTTGACTTTAAACCAGGTTGTTACCTAGTCTCCCTTTTTTTTCTTGGCCACCTCTATCTCTTTGGTTCAGATGTGTGGATCTGAGCTGAGGCCTCGTTTCAGCACGGACCTGAAAACTGATGTATGATTCAGGGATCTTACCCACTCAATTAGGCTGAAAACTGCGTGGGTAGAAGTGTTATACATAATACATCTATCACTCCACATATCTTTAATACCTTTTATGGTACCTATGGAATATGTATTTTCAATTTCAGGAACATCAGTATTAGTCATGATGAGGATATACATGAGAGTCACTTTTTCTGGATGGGAGGCTTTTTATCTATTTCTAAAAGTGGCATGAATTTTCAAGGTGGGTGTGTGGCTTAGGAGTACAGCCAGTGGCCACCGTACAGAAAACGTGTTTCAGAAACTAGGGTAAGCATCCTGCAGCACACGGAAGCCAAACACACTACCCAGACACAAGCATGTGACCAGCACTACCAAAAAAGCAATACATCAAGAGTCTCAGATACCTTTACTGTTAAAAAGGGGAAAAGCCATGATTCTTCTGAAACTGTCAAAACAATGATAAAGAAACAAGATAGACCCAAATGAGAAAAATCTTTCTAATCACCGTGCTGCACTAGTATAAGAAGTTAGAACTTAGTGCTTTAGTTTTCTGAAGACATGTATGGTATTTTAATGTGGCCTATCACACACCAGGTCTTAAATATCTCTGTATTGATTGGTGAAGCATGCAGAACTTAAATCTTATCACAGCAACTATACCAACACGAAATTTTGAGAATGGTGACTTTAAACTCTTTGCTACATAAACGATATTATTTTTTACAACCTTTTTTAAAGGCAGGAAAATGCTCATAATTTCTACCACTTAGGATTACTAATTTTTTTTTCTGTATATGTATTTATCTGCATTTTACAAAAGAGGACACTAAACAGATTACAAATATACTGCTTTAAATTATTGTTTAATTTAACACTACACATATCTTTTTATTTAACAAATATACATCACCATCATCATTTTATTGGCTACACGCTACTCAACTCATTTATACAACCAATGCCCTATTGTTGCATACTCGTTATTTTCAATTAAAATTAAAAAAAAAAATCTTTCCTAAGTCACAGTCAAGGCTCTTCCACCTAAGCACCACGGGCAAACACCCTTCTGGTAGTAGAATGTGGCCTGAGCCCCTGGGTTTCCTGCATGGAGACAGAGGCGATCGATGCTGAGTCCTCTGGACACACTGATCCTTGCAGGGGGTGAGATGTGAGAACAGTTCAAGCAGGAATCCTGACAAACTGCCCTCGGCTGGTCCCCAGATCAAGCTCTGCTCTGTAGGAACCTCCTTCCTTCTGTAGTCATTTGCAAATAGTCCAGGCACCAATCTCCTGGAGGGAGCTGAGGGTGGGCAGCAGATCACACCACAGGGAGCATCTTCCTGGGGCAAGTTCAGTGTCAGCAGCCAAGTCTGCAGGAGCCAGAGAGCTCTGCATTTCCGCACATGGGCCTGCTGGGTGGGCATTTCCACTCGATGCCCTATCCCCACCTCCTGCCCCAGCATGCAGACCTGTGTTTCACAAACCACCTCACTTCCAAGTTCATACACGATTTCAACCACACTGCTTCTGACGGCAAAGGGCTTCATGGGCTTGGGAGTACAGTTGCTTGGGGGCTGGTGCTTAGGGGGTCTCTTTGCTTGGGGTGATGTTCACCAAAATTCTGAATGATTTCTGAATAAGGGGCCTCAAGGTTTCAGTCTGCACTGGGCCCTGTGAATTCTGTGGCCTGACTCATCTGACATCATAAGGGATGAGCTGATGAGCTCCTGAAAACTTTCCCAGGCTCCAAACTTGCATCTCTTAAGATGAAAAAGCAGTGACTTTTTCGTAAAAGTGGCTTTGCTTCCAGAGAAAGGCTAAAGGAATAATCAAACAATGGGAAAGTGTTTGAGGCAAAGAAAACGTGGCCTCTTCCAAGACAACTTACGAAGGGCAGCCTGAGGTGTCCAGAAGGGCACTTAAGTCCCACCACGCTCCCTTGTCAGCACATGCAGCACTTTAGCTGCGTAATCTACAAGCTCTTAGGCAGCCCTTCTTCTCCCACACGAAGAAACACAGTGTAAAGTAAAACATGGAATTTAAGCTTGATGTGGCCTCCGCTTAAAAGGCGCTTACCTTCAGTAAAAGGAGTTAATCACAAAAGCAAACTAATGGCGTGGTTTCACAAACCTTCACCTAAATGAAAAACCCAAATCAGTAGGTCTGTAAAGGGAGACGCCAGAAGGAATAATTATTTCACGGAAACAGACCACAGTTTTCTACTTTGCCTGGGAAATCCAAACAATTTCAGGCAAGAGCTAAAAGAATCCATAGTAGAAAATACAACAGTATCAGCAAACTACCTTTCGCCTGCACAGTTCTTATGAACATGAATGCTATTACTGTTTTCTAGGAGCATACAGTTCTGAATCATGCACCAGGGGAAACAGATACAGAGATAAGTGCAGGACCAACGTGACAGAAGCTGTCCATGGCTGCGCCTCCAGGAGCGAGGAGCGGACTCCGCAGTCACAAGCCACCAGGCACCCCCCACTCCCACTCCAGATTGTCCACTGACTTGGGAGGTCCAAATCTCTGTCTTCCCTCTGTCTTCTGCATCTCTCCCTCCTCCTCCGCCTACCTCCCATCTCTTTCTCTTTCTCTCCCTCCCTCCCTCTCTCTGTCTCCCTTTGTCTGAGAGAGACTGTCTCTCTCTCAGTCTCTCTCTGTCCTTCTTCTTTCTCTCCCTTTCTGACCAAATAGGACTTACTTTCCTAGTTTCAGTTGAAAACTGATAGCACACCCAAAACTTTACAAAGGAGGAGCAGAAGCTGGACTAGGAGCCAGGCAAGCCAACAGCACAGGGGCCTCTTCCAGGCTGCGTGGGCGGTGCTGACTTACAGCCCCCGCTGACCCTGCGAAGTGTCTCTGGGGGACCTCAGGTCTGTCCTGAAACAGCTTCCTGGACCCTGCCTTTCCTCTTTCCACACTGAGGCGGGACTGGGACCTGACTGTGTCCTGGGGAGAAACATCCAACAGCCCTGGGCAGTTGCTGCTTCCAGGTGAGGAGACTTGGCAAGCCTGGCTGGGAAGTGAACTCACTCTCACTGCAGCACCCCAGAGAAGAGTCTGGCCAGAGCTCTGCTGAGCCTGCTGGGGCCCCTGCAGGGGGATCTCAGGCCTCTGAGCTGCCTCCAGCTCCTCTCTGCTTTCTGACAGTGAATACCTCTCTTCACAGTGACACAAGGAGTCTCTTCCATAATTCTGACAAGCTGAGTCTAGACAAATGAGGTAAAAATGAAAATGCACATGCCTGTCAAGAATCACAACTGTACTGCTTTCCTAACAGCCCAAATTTACGGTTGTTAAAAAACCACTAAGTACACAGCATCCCAAAGTTACCGTACAAAGTACTTAGGGTCACTCAAAATTAACCTATCTGTTGGTAGCCCACAATACTTTTTCAAGCTTTAAAATAATTGTAGTTCTCTGAAACTTAAACAGCTGCCTTACAGTGTCTTTCTGTTAATTTGTTTTTAAGCAAATGCCTTCCTTCTCCACTGGTACTCCATGGAGGATTCTTTGTCCAGTGATATTTTGTAACATTTATTGAATACTTTCAGTACCCCAGGAAAAGGTTGCAAAGCAAAGGATACTGGTACCCACTGGCTTTAGCCAAGCAACCTACTAAGTTTCTTTTAAGAGGCAAATGGTTAAACCTCCTAAGACCGTGGGCATTGTCTGTCTTGTCCACCTGCTTATTTGAACACCTGGCATAGTGTTCAATGTTGAGCTGAAATTCACCACCTCTTTGCTAAACATGTAAATGTGTCTTTAACTCTCCAAATTAAACCCAAGGCATCTGCATTACCACCTCCATTTTATAGATAAGAGAACCAAGGCTAAGAGAAATAGCTTTCCCCGGGTCATATAGCTAATCAACAACAGGGCTGACACTCAAACCAGTTCAGTCTGACGGTGATGCTTCTTTCTCTCTAGCAGTCTTGCCCAACAGAATGTCACAGCCCAGTGCAGGGGTCACGCGCTCCAAACGTACGACAGATGAGGATGGATGCTACTTATATATTGCCACAAACCAAACATGATCTTTGTAATACTCTGCAATAAAGGCAAACTTCATCATAAAACTTCTATAGCACAGTAAAGTTCTGGTTATTTGACCAAAGGTATGCTATTTACTTTTTCCTCCCTGACAAGTGAAGCTACACTAGAGTTACATTTCGGGTTATTTCCTTAAATACTCAATGATGCTTATATTGAATATTGAAAGGAGTAGATACATGGGGGGACATGGATCAAGCCTTTAATTTATTTAAAATGCCTTAGGTCAGAGACCTCTTTAATAAAACCCATTATTCCTGCTAAGAGACAAGTCCTTTCATCTTCAGACTGGTAGATTTTACTTTTGCAAATCTATCGTTATCACTGTGAATTACACTGTATTTTAAAAAGGGAAATGCCTCAAGAGAAAGCTAAGGCAATATGCAAAGTCTTTGTATCTACTCAAAGAGACCTTATAGGTTTTCGTAACAATTTGACAAAACAGGTTGAGAGAGCATAAAAACTTCTGAGCACTCTTATTTCATTTCTGATTCTTTTCATTTTTCAAAAATTAGCTGCCAATCTACACATTTTCATGATTATTCCACAGAGTATTGCTGGTACAAATAACAATGAAAAACAAGATTTAAACAGGAAAGCAGGAATCCAATTTGGCTTTCACACCGCCCTCCCCCGACATTTAGCTGAGCCACAGAAAACTCCTCCTGCGGTTTGTTCCACTGTGAACCTTCTTTTTGAGGGCAAATCAGCTCAGATGTGTGATTCTGTCCTAGCATTTTTTTTTTATTTTATTTTTACAGCCAGGAACTGATATGCAAAAGAGGAAGGGTCAAAGGGAACTAAGGAAACCTTTTAAAATACAGTTAAAAACTATGCTGTTTGAACGTTTTCTTTGTAAAGAGGTATTTGATACAGAGGGAAAAGAAACGGAACATTTTAAATGCCACAGTGGAGCCACCTGCCTCAAAGTGAAGTATAAGAAAAGATGGCAGATGCTGTATTCGAAAGGTTGTCTTAAAAATAGAGAAAGTGGAGTTGGAGACAGTCCTCTGTGTTTACGTTTGTTGCTGCAAGAAGCCCAGAGTTGGAGTTGGAGCTGGCCATGGCTGTGTGCCCTGACGTTACAGGTGCATTGCATTGTTTCTGGCCTCTCAGAGGGGTGCACGGTTCACATGGGGAGGAGAGACTTCCTGTCTATACTACTGTACCATCTGCTCTCAAACTACTACCACTGTTTATTGAGCAGCCATGGGAGAGGCATACACAGTCAAAACTCTCAGAGGCTTTTACAGGCCCTCTCCTGATTTTGGCCATTGACATCAGCTACTTACTAGGTAGCTTCCTCAAATATAAATGGCGTTTCACACTTTATCACTTAAGTTAAAAAAATCTAAATTTAGAATCATTTTCTTCTGCCCTCTTACTGATTTCAGAAGACTTTCATGCATGCCCAGGAGCCGTGCGACAAAATGAAATGCAATGACAATAAAACCTACAGCTTCACAAATCACAGAAACTGCCTCCAAAGAAGGGTCTACACAGATATGCCCAAGGTCTTGACTTTTTAAAATTTGTATTAAAAAGATAAAATATAGAGGAGGGGACCAGGGACAGTTGTGTTTCCATTATTTTCAAAGTTTTTTTTTTTTTTTTTTTTTTCATTTTTTTAAAGAGCGATAAACACAAAGTTATAACAGTAAGTTTTTCCCTCAGCAAGGCCATATGGTGTCACAAAGAATGCTTTATTGTGCCTTCTGAGCAGTGAAATTATCTTAATGTACAAGTAAATCATTTCAGGTGGATATTTTAAAACTCAAACTTAACACTACACATAATAGAGAATTCCACTTGCCTACCCATAACATCTCAAACAAGGTACCTGTAACACAGAAGTTTCTGCAAAGCCATCTGACTTCTATTAAAATAAGTGTTTGTGTGAGCTTATTTGGGAAGAGGTATATTTTATTTAGTCCCAAAGAATTAAAATCATTTAGATCTTCACAGGAATATCCCATTGTTTACGTACCCACACGTGCATATTTATTAAAAATAACTGGGAGTCATTACTGGTTGATTTGCCTACTGAGGACACATTCCTAGGTACTATAAATTTTCTTCATTTTCCCACTGAGGACACATTCCTAGGTACTATAAATTTTCTTCATTTTATTTAGATATAGTATCTACCATTAGCAGGTGGTAAGACAAGATCTACAAAATCTGCATATAAGCAGAGAGAACGTGTGTTCTAGAGTAAACACATTAGGGGTCTATTGTTGCACATGTACCCATTTACCTCTTACTCCATGTGATATAAAAAGCTGCTTTGGCCTGACCTGTAGACAATCATGGGTGTGTAGTCTTTGCTCCAGAGAGCATGAAAAGGTGCAGACATCCTGATTGCTGTCTTCAAACTAGGGGAGGCCACTTGGTTTCCAGACTAATCAAAAATTTCCCCAAAGGGACTGAATTCTGAGCTCTGTTGTGTTTAAGACATCCATAAAATTATCAGCTATCATCAATTAAAATGAGATTTTTTTCATAACTATAAGAAATTAATCTATGCTCACATTTTTGAACTATGCTCATAGTATATGAGATCACACACTGAAGGTGATTCAAAAATCTCCTTAAATTGCAGTTTGATCTCTTAGTAGCATTACCTTGGAAATTCACCTTGCTTACCCCACCTTCAAGGGGTTCCACTGAAGTCAGAATAAGCCGTGTCTCAAAGGGCAAAGGGAAGAAGAAATGCATCAATGACTTAGTATCAATAACTGCTACTGACAACAATCAAATAATGACAGAAAAGAACATCACTTGAGAATCCAACTTGGTGTTTCAGCTGGATTCTGTTTGCAAGAAGGTTCTAGATTCCTATTTTGTTCTGCAATAGGGAGGTCAGTGCTGGCTGTCCTGTAACCCAAATCTGGAAGAATGCTTAAGACACTCATGCCAAAACCACGCGTCGCATTGCAAGGTCCATGCAAAAGATGGGTATCAGGCCCCACCAGGATAGTTTAGACCCCATTGTATAGCCCTTGACTTGTGGCCTATGATCTCTTCATGCACAGCCAGGGAGAGGGGGCTCATCAGTAAAACCTCAGAGAGTTTACAACTTCCTCATTTGCAGGACTACAAAAATGGGCATGTCTTTATTTATAACCTGACGGAAAGTGCTCCTGTCCATCACAGAGGAAAATGTGGGAAAACTCATTTTAAACACTGCAGCCTGATTTTTCTGCAGCCCTTAGGTACGATGCAATTATTTATTTTTAACGTTTTACTTTATACGTTCCTTTTTAGCAAATTCCATTTCTTTAACAAAAACATCGTCTGCTCTTAAAGTGAAAATTCTTTCAATTCAAGGAAACATACACAACCTCATACTAGAGTGGGAAAACACTGGTGCTGCAAAAGTACTCACAATTTCCTACCAGTTTTTAAAATGATAATTAATTGCCTTATCTTTAGCAACCCGAGATAATTAGCAGTATGGTGTTAATTTAATAAAATAGAATATACAATTTATCAATATGTTTTTGCAGTGAGTCTCTTTGAATATCAGCTTAATTTTCTGCCCTACACATAACTCAGCCCAAAGGAGGAGGAAAAGGTCACTTTTTCAGGTTAAAAGTGGGGCTCACACTAGGGGGTTGCTGGCTGTCTGTAGTTTCCATTAACAGCACTGGAACACACTTCAGAGTGCCTGAGAAGTAAGCTTACAAAAGGTCAATTCCTCATTCTCATTTCTCCTAAAGACTCTAAATTAAACATTTTTCCCATTAGGTGTAGGGAAGTATCTTATGTGGAATTTTACTTGTTCTAGGTTTGCCAGCGAAAATCTGGTATAACAACAAAAGTTTATCAAAAACGGATCAATCAATATTCATAGCGGAACTATTAGCTTCAGAACAGGACTCTAAACATACTGTTCATTTTCAAATAGATTCAAACTAACAGAAAATGCTTTAAAGGTGTAGGTTTTAGTGTGTGATCTCAAAAATGGAGCATAAAAATCTAGTTTCTAAGTCATTCAAAAACACTTTATGCAGTTCTTGGTGTTTCAACAGTCTGTACAAAACCCCCACCAATTATAGAAAGAAAATGGGGAGGGAAAGGAAGGGAAGGACAGGAAAGAAAAGGGAAGTGGAGGGAAGGGAGAGAGAGAGAAGAGAAGGGAGGAAAAAAGGAAGAAAAGAAGACCGGACGGACAAGCCCATGCTGGGTCCCTTCTTCCTACTGCACTGCTCTCTCCAGAAACCCAACCTCCTACACCCTTTAGACAACTTTTGGTGTGAAATGGCGGGAAGAGAGTCAGATTTCCTTTAGCAGTGAGCTGATTGCAGAAGAAAAATGAATCACTGCACACTTGAGTGAGAAAATATGAAGAAAGCACTTTTCCACTAATTAGGACCTATTTCCAGCCATTCGTTAAGCCGTGGCCCTGCGCCATGAGCTATCAGAGGTGGAGCCTGGGGCCATCCGAAAGCAGAGCGTGCAGAGGGAGCATTAATGATACTCTCCATCACCCAAGACAGGCGGCCCGCACAGGGGTATGGGGAGCTGCTTTGGGCTCAGACCACCCACTGCGGAAACACCAACAGGGAAGAGGGGAGAACACACTGGCTATTCCAATCCAGGCAAGCACACAAAGAAACCATGTGGCACTCACCAACCAACCAAGGCCCGGCCAAGGCCAAGTGAGAGCTGCCTTTTCCACACAAATCCAGACTTTGAGGACCCAGGGCTGCTCGGAGTTCCCCTCAGACTCAGCCACCTGGGAGGGATCTTGGTGCCTGGCTACAGGGCCTCTGTGTCCTCCTCCTGCTCCAAAAGGTTCCACTGCTGCCTTCACACTCCACCAGGGTGCAGAGAAAGGTGGAACCGCTTGCCAAATATGCAAAAAAGGAGGGAAGACCGTTTTCTCTTAGGAAAACACAGACAGGAAGGGAGCCTGTGCTTCCTGCCCTAACCAAAATGAGTTCAGAAATTATGTGGACGTCTGATTTGTCAAGCTTGTGGTGGAAAAGGGCGCTCTTTTAGTCAACAGGAATTGTGAGTTCCCCAAAGGCAGAAATGGCCGTGGGAGAAAAGAATTAGGGCCAGGCCTGTTAACAGGCAAGACAAATGGCCCCCATACCTGTGAGCTGCGGTTTGCACCACTTTTAACAGTTTATTAACAGGTGGTTGGCTGAAGACTCCTCTGGCATCTACCTATGTGTCACTGTCAAACATGAGAGGGAAAAATCGCCAACTGAAACAGTCCGGCAGTTGCCCCTGGATTAGGTCTCAGTTGCTCTTCCTCCAGGCCTTCTTAGGAGTAACCACCAAGGAGACACCAAAATGGGCAGGCCCGCACTTCACCACTTAAAAACCTTCTGCAAATCGCCACTTAAAAACCTTCTGTGAATCTTTTGTTTGCTGTTGTATCTCACTTGTAGTATGCAGCACTTCATAAGGTTTCATAATGTCTTCAAAAATATTTGTTGGAGTATCACCAAACATTTAAAAACTCAAACTAAAGCTACTAAAGTCATGACACTGAAACTTTAAGAACATAAACATATATTCCAGGAGATGCAGAAAGGTAACCTGAGGTCTGAAGTCATTTATTAAACTGCAAAGAAATGTAAGAAAGCCCGTGGTCTGCATGAAGATACCAGCATGAGTGTTCAGTGAGCACACAGTAAAAACTGTTTTGTTACTACTGATATCCTTTGGTTTTAGGTGCCCTACGTCCCTAATAAAACTTCATTTCTATCTTGTTCCTCATCTGAATTTTAAGTGTGCGTGTGTGAGCAACAGTTTGTATAATGCTGATCCTTTGAAACTCTACGTTTCTAAAATCTAGGTCAAAATGTACATGTGCCCTTTTTGAGCAAAATAAAACTGATATGTTTTTAAGATATGAAATAGATTCATATGTCTTCTCTTGTAAGCTTCAAAGGATGGGTCACTTGTTGCTTTTACATCTTGTGTTTTCTCCCATAAAATGGAAGGATTATTCAGCACAAATATGAAATGGAATTGATCTGAAGTCTCCGTAAATATGAACGTAGACACACCAGACGGAGAACAATGTTCACAGCCAGGGCAGGAGCTGCAGCAAGTCTGCCGCTAGAAGCAGGCTCGGAGTGCCCCAGAGTGCTTGTCAGTCTTAGAAACAGAGGCATCAGAAGGCAAGCGTTTTCAGAGAACACAAAAAGGTTTACCTTCTGTGAGCTGGAGGGAAGCCACTTACATCAATCTCCCTTAGAATATGACAAGAACCAACACTTATATCATGGTGAAATTATTTCACAATTCCAAAGATTAGAGGAGGGAAAAAATGCCACAAAACAGTGCTATCCTTGATGAATTCTTAGTTAATTGCAGTTACATTACATTAATACATAACATTATGCAAACACTCAAAAAATGTTATTTATGCCTAAAATTTACTATTATATAATATAGGGAAATCCATTTTCTTTTAGTAAAAGGTTAAAAATAAAGGGGGCCTTTAATACTAATTTCATGTCAGTCTGATAAAATTCTTTCACATTGCCCCATGCCTCTCCACGCTACGTGCATGCTCTGTGTACACGCATATGCACATGGAATTTCTTTATTTCATGTATCTGTTAATATACGCATCATCTTGAAGTGTGTGTGTGTATACGTATATTAATGTATATAGAGTTCTTTCCAATTTCAAAATCTTTGATGTTTATATTGAAAATATGCTACATTAGCCATGCATGAAACACATACATCCAAATCAAGAACAAAGATGTATCCAAACCAAAGAACCACTGTTCTCAAACTCCAAGCCTCCGGTCAAACAAGGAAGACAGTGGTCTGTGGCACAACCGGGCTTTAGACCTCTCCGCCAACACATTCACTGCAATCTTAGTTTTTCAACAAGGGAAATGGCTGCAAATGGCCACAGCTGATCTTCTCTTTAGACGCCTGTATAAAACTCTTCAAAAGGGTCAAATCTAACACATCCACACTTTTATCTGTAGCCCTTGTGGTCTCCTGAAGACCCCAAGGGTGGGCGATTATTGCTATGATGGTTCTGCATTATGGGGATATGTAGTTTTCCAAGAGGTAGCACTCTAATTAGAACACTGATGAATTAAAGTACTGGAGAGTTCCAAAACTCCTTCCTTCAACTCTCACCATGAAACAAAAGGGGAAGAAAACATGACCACTTAGTTCAATAAATGTTCTGGTCATCAGCTCTGGTGGACTGGGAGGTGGAGAAGCACATTTTTTTTTTTCATGTAAAAAAGGTATGAAATATCTTCATGGTGAAATTTGAAATCAGGTACATTCAATCAAGCAAGAATGGTGTAGTATTTTTAATGTGACATCATTATTTATATGTATGTGTACACATTACCTCTTTAACATGTTCTGCATTTTACAAGATGCCAGTTTAAGATGGTGAACCTTCCTGTCATAAATATTTGTCTTGTGTACATTTTAAGCCACAGCCCAAATGATCTGATTTGTCACAGAAACAATTCTTACACATTCTAATATAAATAATACTGAAACTGTTGCTTTTTAAAACCCCATATAAAAGATGAGTACAATAAATCTGGTTGAACAAACATCTTCAAACAAATAAATAAATTCAGGAGGACCCGGGAAATTTTTCTGTGGGTTTCTCTCCCTCCTCATCTCATAACCAAAGTGAACCAGTCCTTAAAAGCATCTGAATTTCTATGAAGGTTTAAATATCATACGAAGTATTTTCAACTTCCATAAATTTTCCTTTTTTAACAGAAGCTGATGGAACTAATAAGAAGGTATTTCTTCAACACTATTTTGTCTGGAAGTTTAAAGCAAGGTATCTCAAAGCTGAATTATACTGCCTGAAGCACAGTGGGAAATTGTGAGTGGGAAACCTAAGCAGAAAGTGCCGCATTGAAATTCAATCTGGGTGGGCTGCAGTCCCTGGAAAGAGGGAAGCTGCATTTGAAAGCTGTGCCTGGTCAGACCCTATGGAATCGCTAGGGTTTTCGGTCATCAGATGCCATACACTGTGCCTCCAAATTAGAAGGAAAAACAATCAAGCCCTCACGAGGTTCCTTAGGCATCACCAGCGATGTTTGACAAATATTTAAAATACATTTCAAATGTAACCGCAAATAACCTGATGCCTTAATATTATTAAGTGTTTTCCTGAGAAGGTTTGGTGACTTGAGAGCCAAACCTGCAGTCAGCAAAAGGACTAACTTTTCAAAGCCGGGATAATTCCTCTTTTACAGAAATCAAGTTCAGACTCGATCTCATTATTTTTGTAGTATAAAAAGAAAGCTCTCGGCTCAAATATAAGGAAAACTCTTTACACATGACTTTACAAAGGCTGACTTCTGTGGGTTTATGTAGGTCTATAAATTTAAATATGTCTGGGGGCTAAATCCTCCTCCTCTGGTGACAGCGGGGCTGCTCAGAAGTGTCCCATGCCGGCCTGGTCCTGCACCTGCGGGCACAGTGCAGAGCGGCAGACCCTTGACAGAAGTCAGCGCTTTCACTGTCCTCAGAAAGAAGAGGCGGATCTGAGCGACACCGGGGATTATCAATCTCACCGCCTTTCTTTACATTTTTTTTTAAATTCACCAGTTACCCCAAGTTTTCCTATTGAAATTCAATTTGAAAACACTCACGTGGATTTGTGCGTCGCGCTTTGGGGCCAAGACTGATCCTCGGGTGCGAAGAGCAACCTCGGAGCCGGGGCTCCCTCTGCCCTGCGGGGCTCGCCCGCCTCGCCGCGGCCGAGCGTCCCGTCCGGGCTGGGCTGCGCTGCGCGGGGACCCAGGGGGGTCGCCGCAGTTCCCGCCCCGGGCGCCCGCCGCGCAGGCACTTGTTAGAGTGTCCTGCTAACTTGGCCGCGGAGCTCTTCCCAGCTTTCTTTCACAATGACTTCCTGAAGTTGCTCACTCGCATTGTTCCCCATTTCTCCGCCACACTCCCCGCCCCCCGCCGGCTCCGACCCGGCTTTCGCGCTCCCGGCCGACCGGCTGCCCCGCGCGCACAGCGCCGCCCGCGGGCCGCGTACCTGGCCCTCTCCGTGCCGGCCGCCCCCGCGGCGCCCTCGCGTCGCCACCTGCTGCCGCCCAGAGCGGCGGGTGGCCCGAGCGCGCGCCCCGCCGCCCCGCGCTCCGCAAACTTTGGGGTGACGCACGCTGGCCGTCCCTGCTGGACTTGCCCCGCAGCCCGCTCGGCCCCGCGCGCAGGGCTCGGCCGTCCCCCGGCTCGCAGCTCTGGTACACGGAGCGGGGAGCGCAGGGGGGCGCAGAGCGGGACACGGAGAGGGCGCGCCGTCCCGTCCCCGCCCCGTCGCCGGCTCCCCCGGCTCGCGCGGCGCCCGTCTCAGCCGCAACTCCGGGACAGCGGGGCCGCGCGCGCAAACTTTGCAACCGCGCCGGGCTCCGGCTCAGCCCCCAAAGGCCGCCCAGGCGGCGGCGGGCGCGGGCCGTACCTGCTGGCGCCGCCGCCGGCTGCAGCCCGCTCGCCCGCGCCTGGCCCGCTCGGCGCGCCGCCGCCACCCCCGCGCGCAGCGCGCCCGGGCCCTCCCCTCGCCGCCGCGCTTCCTCATTCCAGCGCAGCATCGCGCCGCGGCCCCGCACGGGATGCGGCGGCCCGCGCTGTGCCCGCTGGCCGGGAAGCCCAGCTCGGCTGCGGCGCTGCGGGACCCGCGCGTAACCCGTGGGGGCGCGGCGCGGGCGACACGTGCGGGCCGCCGGGAAGGGGAGGGAGGGGGACGCGCGCCGCCGGGTCCGCCACCCTGCACCCGGGGCCGCTAGCCGGTCGGGGCACCCGCACGCTCGCCCAGCTGGCGACTACTCGAGGGACTCGGGACACCGTAAAGCACTTTCCCCAGTGTCTGGGAGCGCCCGCTGCACGCTCAGCTTCACGTCCCTGGAATTGGGGCCCCTTGGCTCCCGGGTTCGGGCTCCGGCCCCAGGATGAAAGTGCCCACCCGAGGGGGTGGGAAAAGTTGATCCTCCGTAAGGGAGGGGAAGGAGCAATTCATTTTCCCAGACAACCAATGGAATACCTCTCGTCTCTCTTCCCTCCCACCTGCTCACGGCAGAAGTTAGGATGGCGCCTTCCATGTTGGCCTGGGTGCACACGCAAGTGCGTGAGGAAGGGCTGCTGCGGGCGGAGATGACAGCGGAGCAATCCCGCAGTCCGCTCGACGGCTCTTTGCGCCTCAGACCTCTCCCTGAAGTGTAAGACGCCGTGTGTCTCCGTAAAACGGGAATGCCACCTCTGACAGCGCACCCTTTCGCCCTACGGGGAGCCCCTCACTCTGATTAGCCCGGCTCCACCCGAGCAGGAGCCAGCAGTGTGTTCAGCTTGAGCCGGAGAGAGAAAGTCATGAATTCCACAAATGCAGCCTGGCTCCCGCCAGGCGCTAGGGGAGGGGACCCAGAGAAGTGAAATGCGGCTCCTGCCCTTCCAGACTTGTAGGGGCCACTAGGAAGGCACAGAAGAAAAATCCCGGGGACCACTGTGAGGAGGAGCGCCCTGGGAAGAGGGCCGAGGGCGGGCTCCTGCTTGGGCGCAGTGGCTCAGGAAGGCGTGAAGATCCGTAGGGAGAGCGAAGAAAGACCAAGGAGCCTCCCAGGGCAGGACATGCAAGCGAAGAAGGCAAGGCTTTGAGGGTAGAGGGCACGGCCTTGAGGGTAGAGGGCACAGCCGGGCAAGGGAATAAGCAAGAAATGTCCCTTCAGGGCAGTTCAGTGTGGCTGGAGACTGTCGCTGCCTGGGAAGGCTGTGGCCTGGCCCAAGAGGCTGCCAAGTTGAGGCCTGGGCACACCAGAGACAGGGATCTGCCTGTTGCCCCTGGGAGAAGACCCGTCTACCAGTGAATCACAAACAGCGTCTGGCCACATTCTTCCTGGGCACTTATATGGCTCTTACTACAGTTCTCAGTGTGTCCCGAGGGGCAATCCGCTGGGCAAGTCTGAGCCAGTTAACTCACTGCTACAGCCCGGAGAAGGGGAGGGTAGCGAAAGGTCCATTGATTTACCTTCTAGTCCTCTCCTCCACTGCGTGACCTTGAGCAGGTTATTCAAACTCCTGGGCGTCATCTTGTCTGTAAAAAGAATACATGCCACATGCCACTAATCCTAAAGAGTCCTTGCTTGGATTAAATGAGGCAATATACATAAGGTACAAGTCCCAGAGGGAGGCCAGCAATGCTGTGAAGGGGACACGGGACTCCTCTAGTTCTTGGATGCGTAAGTACCTTTAGCCGCTGGTATATCTCTCTATGTGCCCTGGTCCTCAGGAGTGGACTGGTGGACCGCAACAGGCATCTCACCGAGGTGTAGCCCGCTGAGGCAGGAGCGCATGGGGCTATGAGCCCAGATAGTTTGGGCTTACGACTCTAACTGAGGTCCTTTCCCTCTCAAAAATGAGGTCCTTTCCCCATCTGCAAATTGATGGTGTTAATATAAGCTTCCTGGTGGAGTTGTTTGTGGGTTAAGTAGATCACATATGGAGTACCTTACCGCATGCCTGACAGAGAGGAGTACACTCCAAGTTGGAACGTTTATTCCCTGCTAACACAACCAATTTCCCAATGAGATGAGTGTGCTGTGAAGACTCAGGCTTCTTGGCTGGGTGCAGTGACTCACACCTGCGTTTAGAGGTCAAGGTAGGAAGATCACTTCAAGCCAAGAGTTCCAGACCAGCCTGGGCAGGAAAGCAAGACCCTGTTTGTACAAAAAAAGCTAAACTTTAAAAATCAAACCCCATTTTAATTAAAAATTTAAAAATTAGATGTCGTTGTATGCACCTGCAGTTCCAACAATCTACGTAGGAGGCTGAGGCAGGAGGATCCCTTGAGCCCAGAAGTTTGAGGCTACAGTAAACCATGATTGGCACCACTGCACTCCAGCTTCAGTGACAGAGCAAGACCCTGTCTCAAAACCAAAATGGCAGTCAGGCTGCAGGCACCACACCTTACCCTTGCCCCCAAGCTGGTGGAGTTGAAGGAACTCAGGCTTATATTATTGTAGCCTGGGGTCTGTGGATAGACTCAGAGGGACCAGAGAGGTGACATAAATCAAATGTTCAAACCTTCAGGAAAACAGGAAAATGCAAAATGGGTGGGAAAACATATAGGGAGAAACTGAAACATGTAAAACTGTTTTGTAGACATTTTATGTCTAAAGTCATTTTATTTGATTTATGTATTGCCCTCTTCATAATGTTAGAGTGTTAAATAAAACGCTTTAATTTATTCAGAAAATAATTGCTAAATCACCAATTTTTCTTCTTTTGAGGTTGTATTATCGAAAGAATAGAGACCACCTATAGGATTAATCAAAGGCTACTTTATTCAGAGCTCACTATGGAAAGAGAGGTAGCTAGGCACTTTTGTCCAGGTAAAGCCTGGGTGGGATTTTCAAAGGAAAGTGAGTTTTTTACTTTCAAAGGAAAGTAAAAGTATGACTCAAGTGATATGATATGGTTAATAGTTTTGTTTCTTACTGTGTTTGGCAAGTTAAAGTCTGAGCTTCAGTTTCTTATCTGCAGAGCATATCTACTTCACAATGGTCTTGACAGAATTAGGTGCAATTAAAATAATGTATGGAAGTAGTTATTACAATTGTATTTTTCATCAATTAAAAAATCTGTTAACAGCAATATAAAGAGAGTGTTTCCTCTGATGGTTATAAAACAGCAAGAATATTTAAAAATAACAGCAAAAGTTTTTGTTTTGTTTTGTTTTGTTTTTGCTAAAAAATAAAAGCCAGTTGTCTTTTTATAGTGTTAAGCTAAGAGAACTCATTTAGTTTCATCTGAAAAGAAACAGGAGCAGGGAGCAGAAGAAAGACCCAGGACTTGGATGAAATGGCTGCAACAAAGACACTGCTTCTTTGCTTTCTTTTTCCCAATTTTCATAACCTCCAGCTTCTGCTTTTGCTGTTTTTAAAAACTAATGATCATTGACCTGGGGCGAGGTCCTCGATCTTTTTTCTTGGGCTCCCTTGTTGGTTTGGCTGTTTCTAAGAACAGTTCACTGGCCCCCACCTGCTGCTGGAGGTGAAGGAGCAGGACGCAGAGGAGAGACAGGGGCTGGTGCAGAGCTAGGGCTACCCTGCTGGCAGTGCCTGGGTAGGAAGCACCTGGTGAGCCCTGCAAGACACTCCTCTGGGCGCTCAGTTTCCTGAAACAGCTGTAAGGCCCTATCTTGGCTCCCAGTGGCTCCTGGTTTGCAGGAACCACAGAAATCCTTTGGCACTACTGACCACTCACATCTCTGCCTGTAGGTTTTGAATCAAGGATGGGCTGCAGCTGACATATGAATTCTTCCCACTTCCTGACAATACTTTCACTCTATTTCCTTTGAAATTTTAAGAGAAATACACTTACGTTCTCAAAACCAACAAATTTCTATCGATATCATTTGGTTAGAAGAGATTAAAAAACACACTGAGTCAGATATAGTGATTTGGAGGAGATAGGTAGGTTTATATAAAAAATGTTCTGATGAAAATCTTCTGAAGATGTTTTTGATGATTATTAAAAAATAACATATTCATCTGACCTGAACAGATCAGAACAAAGAAAAACAGAGCTGTGTGTCACTCCCAGTTGATTCTTTGGATAGGAATAGGATTGGAGCAGGATTTCTGGGAGCATAAACATTCTGGTGGCATGTATTCATTTATGTATTCAGAAAGCCTGTATTTATTGAGAGTGTACCATTGCAGGTAGCACTTGAGATGCAGGTAGTCACAAGAAAGCAGAAGGTAGGATTTGTCCCTTAAGGAGCTCACAATCTAGTAGAGTCGGTGGACAATTAATAGTTTCATTCTGATGCAAAATATGTCACGATAAATTCTGACATGAGCCTTATGGAACACAAAGGACAGCACTAAAGAGCTGCCAGAGGTGGAGGAGGCTTCATGGACACAAGGAGGGAAGTGGGGAGGAGAGATCATTCAGGAGGTCTGAGCAAATGCTTTTCTGCTCCACACCTGGCTGGCGGGGGTGGGGTACTCAGAAACATCCCTCTCAAAA